GCTTGGGGAGACATCTCTAATTGCTTGTCTGAGAGAATGAAAAGCGAATCTATTCCCAGTCTGAAATCAGCACAGTCATTGTGTATTCCTCTCTGCTCTCCTGTCCCAGTGCCACAGCTGTTTCAGGGGGCCCTGACCTGCAAATATCAAGACAAGCTCTTCACCTTCTGCTGCTTGGCCCGACAGCAAGGTGCACCCAAAGGCAGTGTGTGCAGCAGCCTCCTCAGGAGCTGTTTCCAGCAGCCAAGGGCAAGATGCACTGTCAAAATAAGTTTATTCTGGGGACACCGGTCTTGGTGCTGCTGGGTGGTTATCATTTGATACACCAGCTTTCTGCCTGAGGCTGTCAGGCTTTCCTGGCAATGGGGCAGGAGGGGAGAACATCAGACCTACTGCTGTTTGTCCCAGCTGTGCTTTGCAGCTCTTTGCTGGATACAGGGAGCTAGAGACATGGCCAGTTTCCCTCTCTACAGGAAAAGGACATGGCCAACACACAGCAGAGTCCTCTGTGCAAGACCCTGGGGATGCCTTGTCCAGCACAGCAAGGAGCTCTGCAAAATGAGCCCACACCTCACAGTCTGAGTCAGACCCTCCATGATTTGACACTGGAAACTGGGCTGGATGAAAGTCTGGAATGTTTTTGGGTCCCATTCAGCTTTGGTAAGGAGAACCAAACCAGGATACCACAAATCTCTCTGCCAGCAGGATGCTGGGATTTTAGCATGCACACGGAAAACAGATTGTGCTGCAATACCTGTGTGCTAACAGAGTCTGACTGGGTTTGGCTTTCCTGCTCACCATCTCCTGCTCACCATCTCCTCACAGAAGCAGCTCATAGTGGTCATGATTCTCCTACATTCCCTCCATTTGATCTTCCTGCTCTTCTGCCATTCTTCAAGTTCTCAGTCTCTTGTCTTGTTGAAGAATCTCCTTCACGTAACACCTCAGAGAGCACTGTCCAGGCAGATCTCCATCCAGCAGAGGCAGAGCTGGTTTCTGCACACACCAGCCCTGGGCAGCCACTTCCCAGGGCACGGTGGGTCTGTAATGGGGGCATGGTGAGGGCAGGGGAGAGAAGCAGCCCTGAACCAGGGCTCTGCAGCAGGGCAGGCTCACAGCTCCCTCATTTCAGCAGGAGTGTAAAAGTCTGAGCCACTTTTCTAAACAGAGCCTAGAAGTAACTCAGCTACCCTCCAAACACAATGTTGCTGCCAGGCCAGGCTTGCACAGCATTGCCAGTGGCGTGTCACCCCCTTCCAAGCTTCCCATTTCCACCTGCAAAAGGAATGGAAAGGTTTTCAGTATTACTACATTTTTATTGGTGTGGGTGAAACGCCAGCCTGAGCACAGGCAGAGCTCTTAGGTGGCACCCACTCCTAAGGTCCCCAGCACCACCTGCCCCAAATGTCACCTCTCTGGTGAGGACCCTGGACACCTGTGTCTGCACTAGCTGAACACAAAACTTTCTGGAAATGGTTTCTGCTGTCCACTTCTCCCTGATGCTCTTCTGCAATAGCTCTGCGTGGGAGTCAGTTTTGCAGGCAGCAGACCTGACACAGGGATGTGTCACCAGCTCCCTGACGCCGTGTGGCATCCAGGAGGGCTGTCCATGACACGGAGCAGGGGAGGGCTCCGTGGGTGCCGGCTCAGGGATGGGCAGGGACAGCACCCCGGGGTGCAGGGAGGGAGGAATGCCGCTGCAGCTCCGACAGCGCTGATCCAAAGGGGGGGATGTGGGGCGGCTGGGGCTGGGCAGGCTCGCTCCCAAACATCCACACAAGGATCCTAAAGCATAATTATGAAATTTTAAAAAACAACTTGACGTTATAATTATAACGGTTCCTGGAGGAGCCGCGTAATTGAATTCGAGGGTGTCTCGCTCTCATTGCCGGCACTAACAAGAGAACGGCTCAGCTTCCCTCGCAGCCTTCCCGGAGCCCTGCAAAGCTCGGGAGACACCCAACAATTCAATTATTGTTTCCCTCTGGAAAGCAGATCATTTTAGACACGCGGCCAGCTCTAATTACAAAGGAGAGGGGGGAAATTTTCTTGTGTCCAAAATTATTTGACTCATTATAAAAGGATTTACTTTTCGCCAGGCCTGAGGAGCTGAAGCTCTGCTGGGAGGATGGGAAGCAGAGAGGAGCAGCTCTGGCTGTGGCAGGGAGCAGAGGGACCCCAGCGGGTCCCCAAGAGCTCCTCCATGTCCTCCTTGCCCAGGGAAAGTTTTTTTCCGTGCAGAAGGAAGCCGGGGCTGCAGCCAGGGCTGGTGGGCAGCAGAATCCATGCAGACCATGAGCGTGTGAGCAGAGCTGGGCTTCGGCAGGAGCGAGACCGGGGCCGGGGGAATTTCCCTCCTCCCTGCTCTGCTCGGCAGGGAAAGCATGAGGTCTTTCACTCAGAAGCTTCATTGTGGTGTTGTGGTTTTTCGGGTTTTTTTCCCCCTCTCAGATTGTTTTTAAATGCTCTTTTGTGGCTAAAGACGATTTTATGTAGGGGAGGTCGCTTTTCCAATTGCCATTAATTAACTCATCTGTAATGGGGTTTTTTGCAGCCCTCCATTTCCTGTGGCAGGGAGAAGGCGACGGGCAGGAGGCTGAGCTGCTGCTCTGCCCCAGCATGGATCAGGGCACTCCCACCCTCCCAAGACAACACTTCAGGAGGGATTTTTTTCCATTTTATAATTTTTTATAATTAAAATAACGCCTTCATAGACTTTACAGGGGCAATGCTGCTGCCCAGCTTGGGCAGAGAAAGCGATTTTGGGCAAAGGGCTCCCGGAATCACTCCATGCCCTCATCCCCAAATCCACACCTTCCCTCCTCTCCAGTGCAATGGCATGAATTCCAGCGAAATGTTTATGGTTAATTTGAAATCTAGCACTTGTTAGCTAATCCTGTTAGTAGCTTGCAAAAACAAGGGATCCCTTGTATAATCAGTAATTATAACAGGCGTTTTATGTTAAATTATATCTAATAAGCAAGACAAAAAGAGAGATGTGCTCTCAGATGGAGCTTTCCTCATTAAAAAAAAAAAAAAGTAAAAAGGAGGTAAAAAGTCTTCTCCATGATGAAATTATACACCTAGAGGGGAAATTACAAAAAAAAAAAAAAATTAACTGGTGGATGTCACAGCAGAGTGTCACATCAATAAGTTTGGGATGTCACAGCAGAGGTCAGGGGTGGGAATTCGGAGCGGTTTCTGTGGCCCCGGCAGGACCTGACCCAGCCGAGGGCAGGAGGAAGAGGAGGAGGAGGATGAAGAGCATGTGCCGCCCAGGGCAGAGTGGTGCCGCCGGTCCCGCACCGCTCCGCACCTCTGCGGGGCAGGACGGGAGAATCAGTGAGCAGTGCTGCCCAAAAAAAAAACAGAAAAAAAATTAAAAATTAAAAATAAAATTTAAAAAAATTAACATAAAAAATATAAAGCTCCTCCTGCTGCGCAGAAAAGGGGTTTGTGCCCTGAGGAGCAGCACCCCCAGCCCGGGGGCTCCCCCGGGTCTCCCGCGCAAGCAGCCGCGGGTGCGCACCCTCAGCTCCGCGGGGATCCCTCTACAAAGACCCTTTTGTCTGGCTGTAGGGCCACCGGCCCCGGGCTCCGTGGTTTATTGGTTGTAATGACTGATGGGAATAAAAGAAGGTGAAAGAAGGTAGGGAAAAAAAAAAAGTAAAATAAAATTTTAAAAGAATTAAAAATAAATTTTAAAATAAAATAACATAAATAAAATAAAATAAAATAAAATAAAATAAAATAAAATAAAATAAAATAAAATAAAATAAAATAAAAATATAATGAAATAAAATATAATGAAATGAAATAAAATAAAAATATAATAAAATGAAATAAAATAAAATATTAAAAAATAATAAAATAAATAAAATATAAAATCCAAGCCCTGGGGCAGGCTGGAGCGCGCCATTCTCTACAACTTTTTCCCGTCTGAAAATCACACTTCCATTAAACCATCCCCTAAAATGTGACAATGTTTAACTACCGGAGTTATTGTAAATACGCTTAATCAAATAGACTCTTGAGGAAATCTCCCTCCATAAACACGCAATCTTGTCCTTTAAACATGCGGGTAATCAGGAAATGTAATTAAAAGCTAATCGGAGGGCCGTGCTGGGTTAATTCTGCGCGGGCGCGGGCGGGCAGCGCGGTGTCTCCGCTCGGCTTTTCCATGCGAGGCGCGGATCCCGCCCGCACTCCGAGCACCGCGTGTCGGGGCGGGCGGCGAGTGTTGTTTCAGCAGCAAAGCAGTAATAACAAAGCCGTTTATGCAAGCACATTAGAGCGGCCGGAATCCTGCCTCTTAGTTAAAATTTTCGAGCCAGAAAATTAAAAACAAATATTTAACCCGGCAGCTCGCACCCCGCGGCTGCCGCCGCCGCCAAACTTTCCGCATGCATATGGATGAGGGCGGCCCCGCTGCTTTAAGGCGCTTTTCGGTAAATTAATGGGGTTTTGGGGCCATCCCAGCGCGGAGCGGGTGAGGCTGAGCCGGGGTGGAGAGCGCGGCATCAGCGCGGAGAGGGGCGGAAAGTGCGCGGATCCCACCGGGAGAGACTCCCTGGGGAATGGTGCGGTGAGCACGGAGCGGGAACACCGCGCAGGAGTGAGCGGGGGGGCGCGGAATTCCAGGGGGAAGGGAAGGGAAGGGAAGGGAAGGAAGGAAGGAAGGAAGGAAGGAAGGAAGGAAGGAAGGAAGGAAGGAAGGAAGGAAGGAAGGAAGGAAGGAAGGAAGGAAGGAAGGAAGGAAGGAAGGAAGGAAGGAAGGAAGGAAGGAAGGAAGGAAGGAAGGAAGGAAGGAAGGAAGGAAGGAAGGAAGGAAGGAAGGAAGGAAGGAAGGAAGGAAGGAAGGAAGGAAGGAAGGAAGGAAGGAAGGAAGGAAGGAAGGAAGGAAGGAAGGAAGGAAGGAAGGAAGGAAGGAAGGAAGGAAGGAAGGAAGGAAGGAAGGAAGGAAGGAAGGAAGGAAGGAAGGAAGGAAGGAAGGAAGGAAGGAAGGAAGGAAGGAAGGAAGGAAGGAAGGAAGGAGAAAAATCAAAAATAAAAGGAAAAGCAAGGAAGTCGAAAGAGAGACGGGAAGACAAACATCAGGCGCGCTGTCTGGCTGGGTTTGGTCTCAGGGGCCGGGATTGGCACCCCGAGCTGAGCGCCCTCCCGAGCATCCCGCTGCAGTGCCCGCCTCTCGCTGTCACCGCGGCTCTCCTGTCCTGACGTTCTCCCCCAACACACGAAAACTCCTGCATTTATCCTTCTCCTTTTCCTTCTTTTATTTCCCTACCACAAATTTGCCAACCGAGCACCATTTCTCGGTAAAATTCAATTTCACGAGTGCAGGCTGCATCGAGCGCGCCGGGTCCTGCCGCAGCGGGACGGGGCATTTGCCGGGACCGCTGGTAATTGCAGCTTTTTGGGGGATTTGGGAGATCCTCAGCCACTAAGTGTCATTTCCTTGGCTCGCTGGGGAAGTATGTGGAAGTTATTTTTATTGATGTGCACCTGGTAGATTGTTTTGGCAGTTGCAATTTCCGTGTGACATATCCAGACTCTCCTCCGAAAATCTCAAGGAAAAAAAAAAGCAAAAGTAAAAAAAACCTCCTTGACATTTATCCCCAGCTACTGCTGCTGCTCAGTAACGTTTAATTACAAAACTCGGCTGTGATGCCAGCCTGTATCGGTCATTAGGAACCTTTCTTAAAATCTTGTCAGCCTGCAATGAGAAACAGATTTAATGGAGGCAACCACACAGATCCTGGTCTGCCAGCTGAAACTGAGACTAAGCAAAAGAGGATAGAAATGCCAAAAAAAAAAAGCCACCACATTCCCTTCCTAGCAACCAACTCTTTCAATTTTTTACACTTTTGGGTGGTTTTTTTTTTCCCCGTTCCTGCTCTTCAAACTGCCTTTGAGGACCTGGGCAGGAGCTTCATTTTTAGAAGGTGTTTTGGGGAGAGAGAAACAAGTTTTGCGCCGGGGGTGTCGCTTGCGTCGGTGTGGCTGGATTTGTTGGTGGGGATTCTGGGGAAAAAGGCGATGAGAGACGGCCCGTGGCCACCTCCCCGTGTCCCCGGCCCCCTCCCGCTGTCCCCGGGATCCCTGGCCCCGGCTGTCCTTGCAGCGAGGGGACGCCAGGGGGCAAGAGGCGTTCACAAAGGCTGCATCCCTCCATCCCTCCATCCTTCCATCCCTCCTTCTCCCCATCCCTCCATCCTTCCACGTCTCCATCCTTTCACCCTTCCACCCTGCTCTCCCTTCTCTCCCACCAGGAGGTTTCACAGTCTCACAGCGGCAAAAGTCAGATTTCTTATTAAAAACAAAAGGGAAAAAAAAAACAAAACCCCGCGAAGTGGTCCAAATTCCCTATTCAGATTTCTTATTAAAAACAAAAGGAAAAAAAAAAAAAAAAAACCTCGCGAAGTGGTCCAAATTCCCGATCCCCCCCGACCTTGTCTCCACGTGCACCTCGTGGGCACAGCCAGGCGGAAACAACATCCCGCAGCCGGGTAGGGAACGGCGGAGTTCATTTAAGCCAGCTATTAATCCTACTTACCTTGCCGCTATTTGGACCTAATCCCATTTCCTCTGCGCGTTATAGGGACAGTGAAACGGCCCGTTTTTGTTCTCCCGGTGGAAGGAGGCTGCCTGGGAGGAGCACGCCGCCGGTGCCTGGGCTGCCGCCGGAGCCGGAGGAGCGGGATGCGCTCCGCGGGCAGCAGCAGCAGCCTCCAAAGGAAATCACTCAAGGGAAACTTCGCCACAGACAAAAAAAAAACCCACATTCAATTTCCTGACTACTGCTTTCCTGCCCGAGTTATTTATTTTGGCAACTGCACGTTCAATAAATGAAATATTCAATCAACTGACCGCCGTGCCAGCTCCTATGATTCTTTCAGGAGTCCACTTTTTTTAAAATTTTATTTTATTTCACTCCTTAGATAAACTGCAGGGAGGGTTCCCATATCCCAGCTTTGCTTGGCAACTGATGCATTACGTGGCTTATGAATTTTGCAGACAATGAACCCCAGTGTGGCTGAAGTGGACCGTACACACATCTCCGTGCCATTTCCCAGGCACGACAGACATCAGGGCAAAGTACCACTTATTCTTTCATCTTTTTTCACACCTTTCCCTTCCCCAGACTTTGCCCCAAATGCTGAGTTGGGATGTGAAGCTAATGCCAGAGATTTCGCTGCAGAGAAGGAAACCACTTAAAATAATCAGATGGCAAAATACCAGGCTCACCCCCGAGAGCAGCATTGGTAATGCTCCTGCCTGGCATTTTATTCCTAGCTTTATCTCCCCGTATCACACAAATCCATACACTGCGTATCATTTCTCTTTGAAATGCCATGAACTTGGTGTTTTAAATCGAACCAGCCTTTCTTTTTTTTTTCTTCTTCCTTTTTTTTTCTTTTTTTTATTTTTTTTTTAGGCGCAAAACAATGGAGATTGTCAGAGGGCCCCGGGTTGAGCTTTTCTGCGTGTTCACAGAGCGTTAAAGCTTTATCGAACAAACCGGCTCTGTCTGACCCCTGCCAGACAAAAGGCACGTCCCATTTTCCTCTGCACAGCACAGGGGCAGAGAGGACACACAGGGGGTGTACAGTAGGGCTGGGTGGGCCACGGGGTGCCCAGGGCAGTGGTGGGATGCCAGCTCGCCCTGGTGCTGCCAGCCCTGCTCCTTCTGGAGGTGCTGATGGGGCACATGGTGCCAGTGCAGCCAGGGAGCAGCCAGCCAGAGAGCTGGCATGGATTTTGGCAGCTCAGCCACGGGTTTTGTGTGGTGCTGTGCTGATTTTAGTGCTGCACCCACCTCAGCCTCGACTGGATGGATGTCCACCCACCATGAATGGTGCTGAAGGGTTTGAATTATTCCTTGAGGCTTTGCACAGGGCAGGACCACTCCATTGCTCCTAAGGTTCACATGGATGATTTAACGTTTCCATAGGGGTTTTTTCACAAATTTTGAATTAGATGGGAACTTGTTGTTGTGCCGGAGCTGGGCACAACCAGGGAGGCTGGGAACAGTGGCCAGGCATTGAAGGGAGGAATGGTCAGAGAGATAAGAAAAGGTCAGAACAGTCTTCTGAGGAACAACACAGGCAGCGGGACAACAGGAAAAGACTGGATCTGCAAATGCTGGTGTCTGGATGTGGGCATTTACACTAGTCTGGGCTCTGTGCTGCCCCATGTGAAGCCCTCCTTCACCTCCAGCTGCTGGTGGAGAAAAGCACTGGTCTGTTGTAGGCTCTTCATGACATCTACCATCACCTCAGGAGTGTCCCAGACACCATTCCAGTGGCACCAGTCTCTGCTAACCTCCCTCTGCTTCACTCACACATAGAGCCCAGCTTGGAGACACTGGGCTAAATCCTGCCTAGCGTGCCTGCAGCTTTGACAAAAGTTTGAGCACTGTTTCTTCCAGCTTCAGCAGCAGCCAGGCAGCAGATGAATCAGTTTCTTGACAGTCACCACGATTCCCAGCAGCAGAGATGTGTCTGGAGCACCGTGATGTTGAGCAGTGTCAGGCATTTATTTCTGCATCTGCTTCTCCTGTGGGAGGATGAGCACAGAGACATCCTTTGCTGGCACCTGGAGCTGAAATGGGCTGCTCAGGGGTGGGTGGGAGGAACCCTCACCTCCTAGGAGTTGTGCTTTGGGTGTTGCTGGTGAAGGCCACACTATTTCTCCCTCCTGCCCTATGCCCAGCTCTACCCCACAGGCAGCAGAGCAATGCCACGATAACAGAGACCACCTTTCTGCAGGTGTACCACGTTCTCACAGTACCAAAGCACCCACAGACTTCCAGTTCTGCTCATAAAATGTTCATTTCCAAGGAGGAGGCCATGACTGTGCTCGTTTTGGGGTTTGCTGAGCTTTGGGTAGCAGCTTGGGCTGCTCACACCCCCAGCAGTGTTTTGCATTACTTGTTAAGGGAAGCTGGCACTCAGCTCTGCTGCCAGTGGAGATTTGTAAGCCTGATTATATTCCTAAGCATATGTTTGGAAATGAGAAGCAGCTCTCTGAAGTCAGAGGAATTGCTCTGATTGCAAATCTCAAGTCAAGAGGAGGGAAGCCTGGCTGAGGTCTGAGCTCCCTCTTGGAAGAGCCACAGGCAGTAACAGCTCTGGGCTCTCCCCACTCCGGGGGCAGAGCTGAACAGAAACCAGAGCAAACATCTTTGTCATGAAAATCCCATAATATTACAGAAGTGTTGGTGTTGGTGTTTTTTAAGTGCATAAATGATGAATCGTTCTACCTGGGTGGGCAAGCAAAGCCTGGCACCATTTCCAGGGTATTTTACGTGTTTTGGAGGACAATCCTAAGGAGAAAGAGAAGTTCATTGAATGCAGGATGCAGCAGATATTCCCCCCAGCAGATGGCTGACTTTGAGTGCTGGAACAAGTGGCCAGGGCTCAGCAGCAGCAAAGGATTCACATCACTTTGCAGGGTTCAGCTCTTCGTGTCACTGGGCTCAGCTGCTGCAAAGATGTCTCTGAACAGGAGCCACAGTTTCACTCCCAGAACCAAGCCATTCCTGAAAGAACACCATTTGTTTTGGGACAGCACCACTTCCCTGGAATCAGCCAGATCTGCCTGTCACAAAACTGCCACTGCAGAGCAAAGATTCTGATCTGTGAACCTCAAAGTAGGGAGAGATCTGAAAGACTGGAAAGGCAAGTGGGTCCTTTGATTGCTCCATGTTAAAAGTGGTGGGAGGTGAACACCATAAAACATTGCCCACGCAGGGCAATGATTCTGCATACACTTTCTGTATTCCCTGCCTCCAAACATGCTGGTACTCAAAGCTAGGCCACAAAAAGTGCTTGAAAAAAATAAATTTTAATTTCATCCATGTTGGTTTTCGCATCAGAAGGAAAGTGCTGCTCACTCAGTGAGGACCTTTCCACAAGGGCAGGTAGTGATAGGACAAGAGGGAATGGCTTTAAACTGAAAGAGGGCAGGTTTAGATTGGATATTATTAAGAACTCTTCACTATCAGAGTGGAGGGACATTGAAACAGGTTGCCCAGAGAAGCTGTGCATGCCCCAGCCCTGGAAGTGTTCAAGAACAGTTTGGATGGGGTTTTGAGCAGCCTGGTCTAGTGGAAGGTGTCCCTGCCCATGGCAGGGGGCTGGAATTAGATGATCTGTAAGGTCCCAGCCCAAACCATTCTGTGAGTCTGTGACCCAGCTCACCAGGACTGAGAGCTGCTGCCTGGAGCAGCTGCCATGCGATGCCTCCTGTGATATCTGTCCCTCCAGTGAGCTGTAAATCCCAGCCTCAGGACTGGAATTACTTCCACTTTACACCAGCATAGGGAATGGGACAATCAGGCTGACTTTGTGTAACTGGGACAAGAGAAAATTCTATTTAAATTCTGCACCCCGCCAGTGAATCTTGCAGCAGCCTAATTTTTCTATGAATAACGCCTTGGGCAAGGCTTGTGTGGCCCAGAAAAGGAAAGAAAAAAGGGTTGAATTTCCTCCATCCTGCTTGTTTGTAACCTCCTTCATAATGGATGGTGAATCTTGGGAGGTTTGGCCCACTGGTTCCCAAGTTAGGGCTGTGCTGCTGGAGAGGCACCCAGCTGAGGATCTCTGGCACCTGTTGAAGCAAAGAGGGGCAGATTCAGGGACTCAAGCACTTGTGTGATAAGAAAGAGCAAAAAAGAAAAAAAAATTAAAAAAAAAAAAAAGAAAGAAAAATTAATTGAGTAACCTCAAATTACAAATCAATTTGAGGAAATCCCAATCTAGCTGCCGACACTCTGCGAGCAGCTGAAGCTAAATTCATTGAGCAGACAGCTCTAATTAGCACACGCTTGCTCCAGCAAGCTCCACGTGGCACTCTCCATGTCAGGTGTGCCTGGTCCTGAGCCACGCCACTCATCAATTTGACCCAAAATACATTGAAGGCAGGGTGTCACCGCGCTGAGATCGTTTAGGGGCTGCAGAAAGCCAAACTCCAAATTTCTCTGCTCCAACACCTCTGTGCCGCCTTATCCCAGCCACCCCGGGCTGGTTTCTGACCTCATTCATGCCAGTGCAAATCTGCAATAACTTCACGTTAGCCACAGGGTTTATTACAAATTGTCCTTGTGCAAAGAGACCAAAATCTGGTTTATGAAGCTGGTTTCTTTTCCCTCATTCCCAGGCAAGAAACCCTTCTGCAGCCGGAGTCAGTGGGACAGCTTTCACCTTTTAACTCAGGGAGAGCTGCTCCCAGCTCACACTGATGGAAGCAAGGGGCAAACCCATTTCCTCCATAACAGCAGCATTGCCTTGGTGAGGCAGCATTTAGCCCTTTAGATTGAGTG